TCATGACAGTTTCATTTCCTGATTCTCATTGTCGATCTGAATAAAAAGACATCCATAGGGCGCCTGAGTGGCTCAGTTGGTTAAATGACTGCCTTCGGCTCAAGTCATGATCCTGGAGTCCTGGGATCGAGTCCCGCATCGGGCTCCCTGCTCAGCGAGGAACCTGCTTCTCCCTCTGGCCCTCCCCCCTCTCATGTTCTCTCTCTCTCATTCTCACTCTCTCAAAATAAATAAATAAATCTTTAAAAAAAAAAAAAAAAGACATCCATAAAATGTTGTAAGTATCTTTCACTGCAACCCAGACAAAAAGTATTGCACTTCTATAACTCCTGGCTTGGTATAATCAGAAAGAGGATATATTTTTTTTCCAAATTCATCCAAATTTTATTCTGTGATTTACTTAGAAAAAAAAATCTACACTCAAATCACTCTATGTGGGGGGATCAATAACATGGTCAGGCCACTAGAAGAAATGTACGTGGAATCTGGTGGATCTGACACTGAGTGATTCAGAAAGCAAAAAGCGGGAATCACCCACCTAGTGTAGCCTCCTCTACAAAATGTTCTTCTACACAGAATTAACCGATCCTTCCCTCACTCTATAAAAAGTGAGGGATCTTCTCTATTTACACATTCATCAAAGTCTTTGATATTCTGGGAAAGAATAAGCATAACTTCCTGTTTCAAAATGTGCTGCCTTAAAAAGAGGTTGGAATAGATATACAGTGACAGAAATAAAAAATGCTTGATTATTGGCAATTATTATAGAACTATACCAAAGAGATACAAATATTGTTCTCTTTTCCACTTGAGTAAAACTATGTGCAAGTCATAAAATAGATGTGTTCTGTACAATAAGTAAAATATGGATTAAAGTGTATTAAGCAACCTAAATTTTTTTATCTTGAATCTGAAACAAAAAGGCAGTCCTAGAACAAAATTTTTCCCAGTAATAAAAATAATGTTTTAAGGCTAAAATTGTAGGGTTCTAAACAGAATCTTGTCACCATCTCTTTACAATATTAATAAAGTTCAAGGCCATGTCTACTGAAAAGTTTTGGCAAGCCAAACTCGCACAATTAAAATAAATATAGTGTCACGTGATTGGTCTCCCAAAGCCTGGAATTTTGACCTTGACCGAAGTCTTCTGACACCTAATGCTATAAATAACCAGCATTTAGCTGAACAAAATATTAAACTATTAATTCTCACAGAATGTGGTTGTGCCTTTTCAGTGCATATGTCCTGTGCAAATGTTTAGCATGGGCTTATTCATTTGACAAATATTTATTGTGTGTCTACCAGGGCTAGGCCCCATATCAAGCAATGAAGATATAAAGGAGACCACGACCAACACAATGCCTCTCCTTAAAGAGCTAAAAAAAGCAGAGAGACAAAAAATAATTGCAAAAAGTCATCACCTAGTAGTATAGGTAAACAGGGGCATTTTAATATCTATAGAGTAAGGGAAAGCCTCCTGGAGGAAGTTGAGAGGCAATGTCTTAAAAACAAAAATCTTCAAGGCTATGGTAACAGAACTGTATATCTGTAAGCTACTGCTATTCATGCCCATCAGTTAAATTCTATAGTCTCATAACATGTACAGGTTAATTTATTGCTAGGCTTATGTTTAGCATAACATGCTGCTTAAAAGAAGTTTTATAAATCAAAGGTTCTTATAGTTTTAAATCACAAAAGGAATAATTTCTACCAGTTCAGGAAAATCAAATGAGTATAATGAGTAAAGTGGCAAAACAGCTTTCAATATTTCTGAATAATGGCAGACTGACCTCATGAGTCTCTTTCAATCTCTTTCTCTCTTAACCACATTGAAATCACAGTAAACGAAATTTTTTTTAAAAGATAGAAACATATAAGAACTAAGAAAAAGGAAAAGAGACTAAAACAATCAAAAGAATTCATCAAATTTTTATAAAATGGAGATGGATGAATGATAATTGACATAGAGGGGCAGAGGCAATACCTGAGTACTGAGGAGGAGGAAACCAAATGGAAGTGAGCTGACTGGAGATACAGACCCCAGAAAGGTTAAGACCTTGGGAATTCAAGGAGTTGTGAAGTCAGAGTAAGTGATGGGGCTGAAAACACAGTAAAAACATCACTGGATACTTCCCCAACACAGGCTCTCACGTATGGGTGCATGTGCACCTGCATCTAGATTACAGCTCCTCCAACCTCTCCTATTCTTTGGAGAAACTCAGTGACACCAGAGAAAAGGACTTAGAAAACACTGACATTTGGGGGCGCCTGGGTGGCTCAACCGGTTAAGCGTCTGACTCTGGATTTCAGTTCAGGTAATGATCTCAGGGTTGTGAGACTGAGACGGGCTGCATTGGGCTCCTCGCTGGGCGTGAAGCCTGCTTAAGATTCTCTGTGTCTTCCTCTGCCGATCCCCCCTCCCTCTCTAAAACAAAACAAAACAAAACAAAATAAAAAAAAAAAAAACCACTGACATTTGGATGCCACTCTATTAAAAAGCCCAGATCACCAAATGAAAAGCCATTCTCATGTATAAATAGCTTCTGAGTAGCTCTCAAATATAGAAAGGCAACAACCACAGATATATGAGGAAAACTTCCAAAATGAAAGTGAGAGCTTAGAAAATCAAACAGGAATAAAAATTAACCTGGAAGAAACAACACAATGCATGAAGTGGAAGACAATGAAAAAACAAAACAAAACTATGATTAATATCCTTATAGTAAAAAGAGAAATTTAGCAGCCATAAAACAAAAACAGAAGGCTGTACCACAGGAACATTAGAGAACAAAAAATAGTTTTGAGTTAAAAAATTAGGATAGCTGAAATAAAACTTTCAATAGGACAGCTGGAAGATAAAGTCAAAGATATCTCCCATAAAAACAAGCAAACAAGCAAGATCAAAAAGTTAGAATAGAAGATTAGAATTAGATTAGGATCTGTCAGGAGGCATAACTTCAGACTAACAGAGGTTCCAGAAAAAGAAAACAGAGAAAATGGAGAAAGGGAAATTGTCAAAGAAATAATACAAGAAGAGCACACAGAACTTTCAAACATGAATTTCTATATTGAAAGGATCCTCAAGTTCCTAGCACAATAAATGAAAAAATGCCCACATAAAGCTCTTTATTATGAGTTTCATATAGCAGGGTAAGAAGAGATTATAAAAGTTTTCAGGGCTCCTGGGTGGCTTAGTCAGTTAAGCATCTACCTTCAGCTCAGGTCATGATCCCAGGGTCATGGGATCGAGTGCCGCATCAGTCTCTCTGCTTGGCGGGGAGTCTGCTTCTCCCTCTACCCTTCCCCACTGCTCGTGATCTCTCAATTCTAACTATTTAAAATGTATTAATTCATTTAATTTTCATAACTATGAGGAAGAAACTATTAAGTGTGGTCTTTTAAAAACTACATACTATTTCTCAACTTTAAAAGTAAAATTAATTTTAGGGGCGTCTGGGTGGCTCGGTTGGTTGAGTATCTGCTTTTGGCTCAGGTCATGATCTCAGGGTCCTGGGAGGGAGCCCCAAGTGGGGCTCCCTGCTCAGCGGGGAGTTTGCCTCTCCCTCTGCACCCCCCCCGTCACGTGCCTGTGTGCGCGCTCTCTCTCTCAAAAAAATGAAATCTTTAAAAAAAAGGTAAAATTAATTTTAAAAAAAGAAGAAAATACTGTTTTAATGCTCTCTACCTTCCTAATCTGTTCCCAGATCAATTATGGTTGATGAAAAATTCTGTCTTGGTCAATGGGGACACAAGTTTAATGTATGGGGGGTGGGGAGAAGAGGAGTGGGAAATGAAAGTTGAGGGTATTTGCTGCTAGCATTTTAAGTATTCATTGTATAAAAGTACTTTATCTTATGTATTTATAACTTGCAGCTAGAAGGTCCATGGCACAGTGGATTCCCTGATTTAAATGCATCAACGACCTCCACCAAAAGAACTGATGCACTCATCTCGGACCACCAATATGTATTTGGGCAAAGAATAAAGAATCTATACATTTCCTTAAAGTTAAAAACAGAATAGCTACCTCTTTTCTAAATTACTGTCATCTAAGCTCTTCACACTCTTTAGTCTTGCAAAGAAAATTTCCCTAAATGACTCCTAGTCATTTACATGACTATTTATTAAATACAACGATATGACAAAAGCATCGTGCCGCACTCACTCTTACCCTCATCTTTACCTTACATTATCAGTTGCATAATGATACCTGAACATTTCCACCTGAAGATCTGTAGGAGTTAGCCTCATTCAGTTTCCTATATGTGCCGTCCTATCCATCTTCTCACTTATTTTCCTTACTTAAGAGTTTCTGATTTGGGGGTGGGGTGGGGCGGGATATACTCTTTTGAATAGATTTTTTTGTTTTTTTCCGTTTCCAATCTGGGGATATCTTCATTCTTTCTGACCTATAATAAGGAAGTTACACAGTTTTGGCATTTACTCCCTTGGGACTAATAAAGTGCTATGCAGTAATGTCGTTGCTTTTGAGACCTCAAACCACTGCTTCAACACTCATCCTACTGCACGGACCTCCTGGATCATTTGCTGTTACCTGGTCCAGCCTGGGCGTTCCTATCTCTCACATACCCAGGCCTCCACGTTCTTCCTGGTATACCCTTGACTTCTTTGTAGTCGTTTTGTTTTGTTTTGTCTTGGTTTGGGGTTTTGATTAATAGGTGGTACCTGCAGCAACCTCTGAGGTCCTGATGCATCAATGACAGCATCTTCTATGTCTTCCCAACAGCTGGGTGAACACACCCTGGACTGCCTGGCCTACGTCTCGGTCTCGGTCTCCCGAGAGGTACCCATCTGCCACCGCAGACCTCACACTGCGATAGCCTCCAATGTCCGGTGTCACGGTGGCCCACAGTCCCAAGCGCACCCAGCAGGACTGTCGCACCCTCCCTCCCGGCGCTCAGGTGGAACACCTTGGCGGCCCTACCCTCGGGCGTCACCTGCGGGTCAGTCCCAGCGCGCGCACGCGCTCACGCACCTACCGTTTCCTTGGCAGCCGCGACCGGGATAGGAAGCAGCCCCCGGCCGCGGGGCGGGTCCTCCGGCTCCGCGGCCGAGCTCTCCGAGGGGCGCCCCGGGGCGGGTGCCCACGCGGAGTCGGCCCGCGGGTCCCCATACAGCTGGTAGCACACAAGGCCGACCAGACCCCCGCCGGCCGCTGCCGCGATGCTCAGCTCCCCCCAGCGCCTCCGCCACCTCCAAGCCGCCTCAGCCACAGCCCCCTCTTCCTCCTCCCGGCAGGAGAAGGGCCGGCCAGGCGGGCCCGGGGCTACCCCCGCAGGCCGCCCCCACGGCCCAGGAAAGGGATGATGAGGGCAGGGCGGAGGCGGGAGCCGAGGCGGCGGCCACAAGAGCCTCCGCAGTGCAGCCATTGCGGGAGCTGCCCGCACCAGAGCTAAGAGGCGGCGGGAGGGGGTGGGTGGGGGGGCGGGCAACGAAACCTCGCGAGAAGTCGGTGTGCGGAGGTTCGATGCTGTCCGAGGGCTTCCCCGTCAAACATGCGGCCTGGGGTACCCTGTAGTCGGCCTTCAGCTGGGGCGACCGGGGGTCTCGGGCCGGGAGATCCTGGGGAAGGGGGCGGATCCCGGCTACTCCTCCGCCCGGCACTCCTGTCTCAACGCCGCAGTATAACTGCGCCTGCCCCGGCAGCACCTGACAGCGCGAGAACCCAACACCGCAGGGTACAGACAAGTCAGCAGAACTTCAAAGATCCCTGGTGTGCGGGGGTGTCCAGGCGTCCGTCCGCAAACTCGGCCCATCGACTTTGCTTTGCTGGGTGGGTTCTGAATCATTGGTAGTGCTCCTCTAGGAAAGTCACGTCCTCTGACACAAGGTCACGAAAAATCTGCAATTGTATCTTCAGGTGTAGAGTAAAAACGAGGTAAAGTGTGGCCCAAGTCAAAAAGATGGCAGATTAAGTCAAAGGCTGTTTTGACTACACAGTGACAGCTTCTCGACTTTTAATGGGCGCAGGCTAACATTTTTTAGTTACAATTAATATTTTTTTTAAAAAAATCATTACCATACTTGTGGTCACTCAGTTCAACAAATCAGAAGCGTCTTGAAAGATACCCTTACTTTTGTGGGGATGCTGTTGGTATAAGTATAAAATAGTGTGATTGTGTCGTCTTTATTTTTATTATTGCTATAGCTGTTTGTTTGCTACCTTGTCAGTGTCACTTCTATGAGAAAGTGTATATGACATTCTTACCAATTTCCCACTCCTGAGCCCAGTTTTGGTTAACAGTAATGCTGGCTTTGGTCTCTGTACTCTGGAATGGTGCCAGGTCCCCTAAAATATTCTGCATCTAGGGGTGTAAACAACAAAATCCAGTTGTCTCTACTGAGCTATAGTCACAAGGGAATTAGATCAGTTGATTCTGGCAATTCTTATAAAGACTAGGGCAAACAAAATGAGGTTTTCTGACCCAGATCTTGCTATTCCCATTCCTCACTAACAGGAATGAGGAAGACTAGCTCCTTGTGTTATCAAGACAATTCCTTCCATTTCTGCCTTCTTTGAATTTTGGAAAATTCTGTATTCCCAAAGAAAAATTTGTTCTCTGGATATATAACACAGTTCTTCTTCTGGCATTGTTTACTTTGAACTGAACACAATTTCCGGATTTTCTCATAAATTTCCAACATGGCCTAATGGCAGAATTCTTGGACAGACCAATGAATTTTTATTACTTGTAGATTTAGGTTTGTCAGGTTCTCACAGAGCTTTGGATAAAGTTCTCTCTGTATGCAAAAATTATTCTAATTACAATTTTCTACAGTACTTTCCCTCTAAAAGCAAAATTTCCAAAAGAATATTGCTTTCTTCTCTGTGATTATAGCTACATAAAAATAACCAAATTCCTTCATTACTTGATATTTTCTTAGGTTTACTTTTCAAGGGGAAAATTATAGGAAAACATGATATTAGGAATTTGGGACATTTGGAAATTAAAGATAATATTAGATCAATATAGATTTAGTCCAATTTCCTTCAACTTTTATGTCAATTCTCCTGCGCATTAATAATATCCAAAAAATGTCCCTATTCCACAGTGAGAGTCCATACCTTCAAAAAAAAATTCACTTATGTTCACTATGATCTAAGTAAAAAGAAGACTGCTGTTGCTCCACCTTGTGCTCTCCCTTTCTCTCACTTGTGCTCTCTCTCTCTCAAATAAATAAATAAAATCTTTAAAAAGAATGAGCAATTATATCTAAGGCCCTACATCAGGGCTCATGAGTCCCCTACCAGCAGGTGCACTCAATTCCGACAGAGTGAAGTTACCAGCCAAAGAGCAAGGCTGCAGCAAGCCCCTTCTCTCTTGGGAAAGTTGTCATAAAATTGTCCCCATCTTCAGCACTGCCTTCCCTAGGGTACAATTGGCAAATTCAAAGGAGAAAGTGAAAGTGGTGGGGAAGAGATGTTCTCTGGGGCCATAGCTTTTTCTTGGTCTTTTGTCTTTATAGGACTAGCCACTAAGAGTCTGGAACTCAATTCTTCAGCGTCCAGGGCTATGAAAACCAAGTTACCCAAGGCACTGAGGGTCTGTTTGTTATTTTGACTATCTTCCACCCCTAAAGACAGACTGACAATGCTTTGTCCCTTGCCCTTCTCCCTTAGTCAAAACTAAGCTGTGCCTAAGCTCCATTAAACCAAAGTATGTATTTAGCCCTGCTGCAGGTGCATAGTAGGACCCCAGTCAATGTTTATTAAGTGAAGAAAGGAATGTTTTTATTGTTGTAGGGGGAGAGGCCAAGAAGGGACGGCAATTCAGGAGGCAAGGCAATAAGGTAGTTTATCAGAGGCTAAAGGAGCTGATAAACCAAGCAGCACATATGGAAATGTAATGAAAGCAAATAGAAGGCCAGAAGGAGAAAGCAAGAGGTTGGCAAGGAAGGATCCGAGATAGAGTGTGGTCATGGAGAAGGGTTGATTTAGGAACAAATATTGTGATTTTGTGATTTGAAGCCATCCTCGTACATATATTTTGGCATGATCCTGCTGGACCAAGAGCCTTAAAGCAACAGGGTTTCATCAGGTTCTTTCGGTCCTCTGGAGAATTCCAGCATGATCCATGGCTGAAGGTCAGAGAGTTGAGTTTGACATTTCCCTTTCTGTTACTCCATATCTCACTGGTGACAACAACCAAGCTGCCAGTTGTACACACTTAAGCTTTTAACTTCAAGACAAGTAATAAAGTCACTTTGACAGTTACATCTGTCCAGTCCGATTAAATAATTTCTGACTTTATATGATTTCCAGAGCCCAGCTGACAGTGTCTCACTGTTCAATTCTTGCCATTTTTGTCCCTCATTTGGTGGCAGGAACTTGTTTTCTTATGTATTTGGGAATCTTAATATAGCCTAAAGAGATTTAACCAAGGAGTATCTTAATAAAAGACTTGTAGTACCTGAAAACCTTTAAGAAGATGCTCAGTAGATATTTCCCTTATTTACTAAGAAAAGACGAAAAGAACTTTTTTAAAGCAACAACGTACTGTTTTATCTTCTTTAACTTGTAACACTTTCTCCTGAAAAATGTCCATATGGACAGACCCAATAGGTGTCTGGTGTTACAACCAATATATACCCTTGTCTCTGGTTCTAACCCCAGACTGTCAGGTGTTAGATGGGAAATTGCTTTAAGGGCAGATAACCAAACAGAAGGGCAGCCTTCAGAACAGATGGAAAGATCAGCGCCAAGAGGGAATGATTAGAGAAATCAAACATAGCATAAGGTAAGTCCATGTACTTACCTGAAGACACTTACAGGGATGGCAAACCAGCTTCATTTCTTGCCAATGCCAATTGGTTGGTACTGAGCAAAATTTTCAGACCAGGTCCAGAATTCAGAGGAAAAAATACATTGGTAGATGAGTATGCCTGCAAAGAGTAGGCTATCAGACTGGGCTGAGCTGTGTTACAGGACCACCATGGTTTCCTTGCAACTCTCCAATTGGAGAAGACAGTAAATAATAGAACAAAAAAAAACTGGAAAATGTTTAAATGTTTCTGTAATACACATGTGAACATCTTATATTTGCCCTTGAAAGATTTAGCAGACTGAAAAGAATTTAGAGATAAATTAATCTGGAAAATTTGTAAACTTTTAAATCTTTTAGGGGTAGTGTGGAGAGTCCTTATTGGAAACTGTCAAAAGAAATCTGATATAGAAGCTCCCAGGGGCACCTGAGTGGCTCAGTTGGTTAAGCGACTACCTTCGGCTTAGGTCATGATCCCAGGACCCTGGGATTGAGCCCTGCTTTGGGTTCCCTACTCAGCAGGGAGTCTGCTTCTCCCTCTCCCTTTGCTGCTCTCCCAGCTTGTGCTTTCTCTAGTGTATTCTCTGTCAAATAAATAAATAAAATCTTAAAAAATAAAAAAAGAAGCCCCCAAATACAAAGTAAATAACAGTAGAATTTTTTTTTTAAGATTTTACTTATTCATTTGAGACACAGAGATACACACAGAGAGAGAGAGAGAGAGCATGATCAGGGGGAGAGGCAGAGGGAGAGGGAGAAGCAGGCTCCCTGCTGAGCCAGGAGCCTGATGTGGGGCTCAATGTGGGGCTCGATCCCAGGACCCTGGGACCATGACCTGAGCTGAAGGCAGATGCTTAACCATCTGAGCCACCCAAGTGCCCCAACAGTAGAATGTTTCTCACTGAACACAGGAGGATTTTTGGACCCTGTTCACTTAAAGCCTCCCTTTAAACTCTCATAGCTAGGCCTGAAGCATTTCTGTAGAATCTTAGGGCTTAAAAACCACGAAAATGTACAGTTTTCATTTTTTTTCTGATGAGGAAACTGAGAGGCTCTCAGGTTAAAGACCGTTCTCTGGGTCACACAATCAGGACTTGTGTTTCAATATTCTGCCCTACATCTACATAGTTTCTATATTGGAAGCAGAAAAAATTTAAAAGTTTTTTTAAGGCACATTAACTTGCAAAAAATAGAAAGAAATGGCATTAGCTCAAATAAAAGATATTTTTAGGATAAAATCATATCGACCCAGGGAAGAGTGGCACTGAGTCTTAGGAAATGTGATAAGCGGGTCAGCTCTAGAGATCTACATAGTAAGTGTTCAAGGACATTTATTCTAACATACTCCTGTGAACATGACTTGACCGCTAATTCCATCGGTCTCTGTGAATCTTAGTTTAGGTTCTAAAGAGAAAGCATTGACTTGGTGTGGCCTTGGTGTGTTTTCTACCTTTGTTAGTTTCTCACTGTTGGGCCAGTCAGCTGTGCCTGGGAAGAAAAGGGCTGGGTCATGGAGGAGCATTGTCCAGTTTTTCTGTTCTGTTATTTCTGGGAAATAGGGAGAACAGCTTCTCTTAGAAGGCTCCCTGGGCAGGTACCAATGGTGTGCTGCTGGAAGTT